TTCGTGGTATCTCATTAGGGCATAGTATGTATTTCTTTATACTGGACTGCAGAAGCATTAAGAATTTAGAGAGCAAAATATGGGATTGAGCTTTTAATCTCCCACTCACTGAATCGGAAGTTTAGAGTGGCTTGTGCCAGTGCTTCAAAACTGTGAATAAGATCACTTGGGTAACTACAGACTAAAACTGTGGTCAGATAAAAGTATGGAAATAATGATGTACAATTGAGTCAAAAGAGAATAAAATGGTGGTAGCATAGTTAATGCGAAGTGTCATGACTTCAAATAAAAGTTTTATTAAATAATATATTTTAAAGGTATTGCAGATTTAATTATAGTAATCAATTGAGATAGGTTGCTTAAACTTGTAAGTTGATGTAGTTCTGTGTTTAATATGATTCTTAAGGCTTTCAACTGTGTTGTCTGGAGATCATCAAAACGGAGGTCAGTGAAATGGAGACTAATTAGCAATTCGATTTTGATGCAGTAAACTAGTTTATTGTAAAGGAATCATTTAGTAAAACAGACTTCTTCCCCCCCCCGAATTTGATACCACAATCCTAGCTTTTAATGCAAGTAGAAATGCTTTCTAAAGTTGATGAAAGCTGGGAACATTAACCCTTTTAAAATCTCAGTCTGGTGTAATGCCTTTTATTGGAAACTCCCATATAAAGCAGTGTCTGAACGAGCTACTGATAGCTTTAGGGAGACTAAAGGTTTGGTATTTATGTGCTGTAGCATTCCCTCCATGCTCATCCCTCTGAAGAGATCCTCCATGTTTTTCTTTTTATTGGTTCTTGAGGCTTGTTTGGGGAAAAAACAGGTGTCTGTAAGGTGGAGAGCAAATCTTGAGTTTAACCCAGGAAAGGGTGTTTTGTCTTTGGTCCAGATTTGATTCAGCTTGGCTCCTTGCTTTGATGCTTCAGCTGCTATTATTGTAAAGCTTCGTGGTATCTGCAAAAACCTGATAGGTATTCGTAACATTGATCTGTGGTTCCAGTAAACAATCTGGAAGTAGAATTTAGGGAGGTAACGTTTCTTTGGGAATGGTCTATATTGACCTACTGCAAACTTTTTTAAAGTGTCAAATTTGTTTGTTTATAATGTAGAGACTTTGGACTACATTCCAACTTTTGAGTGGGCAGTTTCTACTTAGGGCCACCATCCATTAGCTGATGTTAGTCAGTTTAATAATAGTCAGCTGCAGTTTTAATAAAGTTTTTTACACAAATTGCCTGCTCAGCTGCTAAGGGGTGTGGGGAGTTACTAGGCAAACAGCAATGTATATTTGCTTTGGAATATTGTTGAGAACATACTTTACTATCAAGGTAGTAGATAGCCAGATATTGTAGGATGTGCTCTTTTTTTTTTTTTAATTGCCTTTTGCTGATCTTTAGTTAATGCAGTTTTCACATTTCTTATAAAGGAGCCAGCCAAACTAATACACTGATATATTTATTTTGAAATTCCAGGTTTAAATTTTATTGCAACTATTTGGTCCATTTTCTCCTCTGTACAGTATTGCCTGATTTTTGCACTTTTTTCTCCATTCAAGGTATCGCTTGGCTTGCTTGTATCTCAGTGCATTAATTTGATTTCCTTTCTAGCAGTGTGGAAGATTTTCTGTTTGTGTTCCTGAATGAAAAGGAAACGTTTTGCTTAATTGAGGCCCAGAGCTCAAACATGCATGCTTCTGGAGAGAAGTTGAAAGGACCACGAGTAAATTTGTGACTCACCTCTAGAAGCCTTTCTGAAAAGGCCATTCCTTTCTGCATAGTCATTGATGTTGCCTTTGTCTTTTGCTCATTTATCTCAGTGTTGTTATTGGGCAGTGTAAGGTGATTTTTGTGACTGCGTACTTTCATTCACTGGTTTATTGTTCATAGAGAATTTGAAAAATTGTGAAGCTGATGTGTTTGCTTAATATATTTTCTTTATCTGTTAATTGAGAGCTCTGTTCTACAGTACACACATGACTTATAGAGAACTTGAGACATCGTCAGTATGTCCAATTTAATCCAAGGAATCAATGTTTATGTGAGAGTTTATTATAGTGTTTTTATTTTGAATACAAATCCACAAATCGTCTGTAGATTATTTTTTTTTGGTCATTCATAAGCCAGTTTTCAAAAAATGCTTTGGTCCTTCTTGAAAGTATTAGTGTTTTATCCTTCATACTGTATGCTTCGTTCTAAGATAGTGTGTGATACAATTGCTGACCAAAAAATGGCAGTGAACAAACTGACGTTGTGAAGCTGTCTCACTCTTCAAAGGCGTGGGACTGTACTACTACTTCTTTTTTTAATTCCAGTAAATGTGGACTAATGGCCCACTAAATTAGGATTTCCATTCCTTGTCTAGGAGATCATTAATGCATCCATGAGTAGGTTCATAGATGTCAGTAATGGTGGAGGAGCCGGACTAATGTAAAGGTCCGCAGAGTGGTGAGGATAGCTAATGGGGTTTAATTTTTTTCTTACATAGGATTTACTCCATTCGGGTTGTTCTGTGTATGTTCTATGCATGTTCCTCATATAGGGAGGGAACAAATTTTTTCTTCCCTTTGGTGGCTATGGGATAATCCTACAAAGCTGTCTTTGCACAAGAGCATATTGTTTCTAGAATCAGATGAAGAAGAGGAATTGAGGAAAGGAAGAGTTTTTGGCACTCGATCAGTGATGAAATACTTCTAGTAAATGTGAGGGGAGAATAGCGTGTCAAATGTACTCACTTTTTTCCATTCCAGTTTCGTATTAGTAGCAGAGAATTAATTTTGACCAGTAGAGTCCTTTTTTGTTTGAACAAAATATTTGGAAAGCCATCCTCTCTGGTTACATGTTCAGAAACATAAGTAATGTGGTGTTCCGTAATGCTAATGAAACCTTAGCAGCAAATGAGAGCTTTGTGGGCTAAAGAGCCTAAGTAGGACAGCAGAGGCTTTGTTCTGCTGTGCACTGAAGGAAGTCGGTTCTTCTTAATGGTATTGGATGTTGGCTCCATGCCAAAAGCACCGTTTGGAAACGTCTTTTGGATGCCAGGTTAATGTTGTCAGAGTAATTACAAAAATGAGTGGAATATAAGAAAGAAAGGCTTCTTGAGATAGATGACGTATTTTTATGCCTATGTGCAACACTGGTTTGACACTACAGTATGGTAACCGTCTCCCTCTTCCACACACAAACAATGCATATGCAACTTTTCTAAAAACAATAGCAGAAGTGTCACTTTATTTGACAAAAGATATTTAGTGTGGAAATGTCCAGTTGGTGTAAAGCGGGCGCATCAGAACAGTATGAGATACAGGCCATGGTTTCCCAAATATATTAAAATCTTGTCTTCAGTCCCTCGCTGTCTCTTGGCTGTTTATATGGTTCTCTGATGAAACAGATCAAGGAAAGTGGTTGTGTTTTTGGTGGAGAGAGTGATGCAGAGGCAGGAGCACGTGGCTGGTAGTGGAACAGCATGGGTGCTTCTGGTTGTTAGTACTCACATGCCATTGGATTGAAGTGTTCAAGGCACTAACGGCCACCATGGTTGTTAGTCCATGGGGTAGGGAACTAAGAGCCGCAAGGCAAGATTTGAGGGCAACCTTAATCCCATTTATGTTCTCTCTTATTATTCTTGTTGGTTGTATATAGTTGTGTTGTCTTGGTATCTATTTTAGTGAATACATTTTCCTTGAGTCTTAAGCCTTGCAGTATTTTATGGCATTTTTTGATTTAACTTCAGATAATCCTACTGCATGTTGAAGTTGAACTTAAATTGCTAATACTAAAGGTTGACATAATTCATTAGGTTCAGGCAAGTTACTGAATCTGCAAGACGCAGATAAACACCCCTCACAGTTTTTTGTGTAAGTTAATAAACTTTGCCTTTAAGTGCTTTCTTTAGCTTTTTTTCTTTTTCTACTTTTTATTTTTTAAATTTACTGTGACGTGTATTTGGATTTGGCATATACAGGACACAAACTTTGATGCTGCAGTTGCTTGTCTTTTTGGATTACTGAGTAACTGTTAAGAAAAAATGACTGTAAATGCTGTCGTAAGCTGAAAATCCTTGATTTTTCCACTGTGGCAGATTTTTTAGCATAAAATACAAATGTGCTGGACTAAAAATATTTGCTAGGCTGTATTTTGTACCTTTATTCATTCCTGCCTAATTCCTAACCTCCATATTTCCACTTGGTTTTTGAATTTTCAACTTGTCCTAATTAGTGTATCCTCCACCTATTGATCAGTACAGAATACAGTGAAAGATTGTTTTGAAGCTGATTTAATGTATTAAAAGTCCCCCAACTTTTTTTGGAAGCGTGGTTTATTTTTGACTGTTTCTCTTCTTTGTTTTGTGCCTTTGCTTTGCTATAACTTTCTTAACGGGTAAGGACAGGTTTGCTTTCTTTGGAATCTCCAGCTAGAGCTGATCATGAACTGTGTATATAGATTTGCTTTAATAAATGTTTTTCATCTGGAGACTACACCCAGCTTCGTCATGCAGCTATAATTTATATTGTTTTTCTTTTCAGTGGGTAGTCGTAAGAGTGGAAGTAATTTTTTGTATCCAATGAAATTACAACTACTTGTGTTTTAAAACTACCAGACACAGCTCTTGTTGAACAGTCTCTTATTTACCTAATACTGATCTTTGGTTATGTCTTTGTTATCTTGGTGGAAAAGATCCACTTTTGAATTAAAGGATTTTTAGGGGAAAAAAAGACATATTGCATTGTGAAAGTGATCAAAGACTGCATACAACTTAAAGTGCAAGTATTAGAGCTGTTTTTACAGAAGGAGGTAGATCTGTGCCTGCACGTACAGCTTACTGTTCTGGTATATGGCTGGTGTATATATACACACACATCACTGATTTATAACTTGAATAACTTCTATCCAAGTAGCAAGCATTCCCTCACAGCACAACTCATAAATAAATTACATGTCGTCTCTGGTACTGCTGTGGTTCGTAACTAATTCTGGGTATTTTTGTTTCCTTTGTTTTCAAAGGATCAGTTTGATAACTTGGACAAGCATACGCAGTGGGGCATTGACTTCTTGGAGAAATATGCAAAATTTGTAAAAGAAAGGATAGAAATTGAGCAAAACTATGCAAAACAACTGAGGTAAGGATTTTTTCTTTCTCTTTCTAAAAGAATCTTAACAGTTACTTAAAATCACTGTATCAGATGATGGGCAAGTATGTAATGTTGTGATTAATGACCATTTTTCATTTACAGAGTGAATTAGATCACTAGTTGTTTTCACGGCAGACAGTTTTTTCTTTACCAGTCCAAACCAGAAAATTATCTTTGGGTGTGCGCTTATTTCCTTGCTTGTTTTTGCCTTCTTCCCTCCCTCGCTTCCCACCCATTTAGTTCAAATCTTTGAACTAAAAAGGTTTAAAACTTAAATTTTAAGATTCAAGACAAAACCATAGTAATATTTTGCCACTGACTATCAGCATGTTTGTTGCGAAGTGCATTATCCATATCTATGTTTTTATGTGTGTGTGTTCAACCAACTTCAAGCCTCTGCTACTAATTAATTTCTCATGTTGAATTGGCAAGAGCTACACTACATTGTGTTAAGAAATCTGATTGAAATCATTGAGTAGAACCCGAGAAAGCAGCAGATCTTCCTGTCCTTAAAGCACGCCCTTTCCGTAGCTGGTCTTGTACCTTTGGGTGAGACTGTAACCCAACCACCCTTTGTCTTACCTCTCCAGTTTACTTTCTGTTGGTGCCAAGTGAAACATCATTTAGGTCCAGTAGGAATTTCCCCTCAGGGATCGTACAAGAAGAGTAGCAGCCATGAAATGGTAGAGAAGCAAGCACATTCTTCACAAGAAAGCAGGACTGATTTTTACCAAAAAGTGCGCACGGTGCTTGAAGAAAAAGGTTTAAAATAAGACACTTCTGTGAACTTGGCCTTCACCGTAATCTTTGCTGTCTTGAATTCTTTTGGGGATTCAGCTGAAGCTGCTGCCTAGCCCTTGTCAGACTGAAATTGATAGCAGCTTCTCTCCTGTGATCATCTCATCATTGGCAAACTAGATTGTCACCAGATACAGAGTTGAGGAATCCTTCCTCATAAATGCAGTAATGAGGTTCACAGCTGAGGGTATGGATGTTCTCTGTCTAGGCTGCTCATTTCCTTTTTGGTTTCTTTATCAGTTTCTTTTGATCCAGTTGTGTATATTCACCTAACATAATACCCCATTACTTTACTGAAGGAATTTTTTTCTTAAAAGGAAGGAAATAAATACCACTTTTCCAAAGCTGGTGTAGAAGAACTTCAGGAGGTAAAGGAAAGTTTGAAGCATGCACAGCACCAGTTCACAGCCCAGTTTTGATCTGTTTTCAGTTGCCTGTTTAAAACTGGAAATGTGTTCTATTTGCACGAATCTGTCCAGATCTTTTCCTTAAATAGTATGAACAAATGCCATTTTGCTTAATTATATTTAAAGGTTCATTCCACAGCTAGCAAGATGAGACACCACATTATTACTTCAGGATTTGACTAAAAATAGGAAATCTTTGTTCAACATTTTACTCTCTTGGGTAAAACTACTGATTTTTCTCAAAGTGTCTTTCAAAAAGGAAGCAGTTATGTCAAGTACCCCTTCTGTCAGATGACTGGACTGACTGTCCATGTGCAGTAAGTATGACAGTTTTGGGAAGCACAGGTCTTGCTGCACATGTGTTGTACAGTGCATGCATGCACTTCCTGCCTGCTGCCAACAAGGGTCTGGACAACACACACACACGAGAGGGTGACTGATTTTCTGCCAGTAGACCAGTTCATGAAGCTACTCTTCGATATTCTTGCCTCTGTATTCCTTGGGGGAGAATTGATTGTTAGTAGTGAACTGTCTTGTGGTAACAACTTGATTTCAGTCATCATTGCTCTTGAGGACACTCACTGTTTTTAACAATGTAAAACAGTCATGAGGCCCCAGGGGAGATTGAGATCAAGCAAAATTTTCACCTGCAGAAGAGTTAGCCATCCTGCAGCTTGCTCGTGAGAAGTTCTGAGAGAGAAGGTCTTGGGGATGGACTATGGTTCTGGTGAATTTTAATGCTGGCAGCATGTGGCCTGTGAGATAGATGCTAATATGTCCAATAGAAATTTCTGGTTTATCATTGTTTTTTCCTTTTGTAATGAAATACAATCTTAAAAATAGTGTGTTGAGAATCTCTTCATAATGAACTTTATAACTGAGGTTTATTATGCCCTTGTTTAGTAGATCGTATGGTGAGTGGTCACCTCTTGGTAGTTGTACGGCTCTCTTAGTACTTGGATGGGAGACCAAGAAAAAACAAGTTTAACGAGGGAGATAATGCTAGTGATGTATGGTGGTATTTTTTTTCTGTCTTGGTTTCAGTGTGGGCTGTGAACGTTCTGTTGAGATTGTTGATGGATCTTACTCTTACAGACTTAAACCCAAGGATTAAAACTTGAGTGACTTTTTCATAACAGTTTTCACAAATTAGAGTCTGTGTCCTGGCAGAAATTCATATTCACTTTGTCTATGCCCTTGCATTTTGATAAACTTTTTTTTTTATACTGTCACAACTTGGTGATGAGACTTTCCCAGGTGCAACAGCTGTTCTGAGTGTTCTAGGAGATGGCAAGTGATGCATGTACAGCATATGAGGAACTGTTTGAGTGAACTCACTATATTCTTACTCTAGGCAGCTATTGCAGATTATGGTCACTGAGCAATTCCAGAAATGATAACTTGAGAGAATCCTGCCCAAATGCTGTATTTCAGGTTGCAAGTCATTCCTTGCTATTCTTCTTTGATAGGCGGTTCTTGATACTGAGAAAAAGTATAAGAAAAATTGAAACCATTGAGGAATCCTTAAATGTCTGCAGAGGGAAAAAAAAACACCTCCTGTCTAGAGAGCTTGTCTTGTCTTTGTCTGCAATATACTTTGTTCTGAAAAAAAGCAAGTATAATTTCATTTTTTTGAACTAACTTAAAGGAAAATCTTAGGTTTTGTGTAGCTCGGGTCTCAACTAACATATTGTGGTACCCCAAGGATTGTGAAGGTTATTACTGAGTTACGGGGATGTGAATTGGGACAAACATATTGCAGTATACATTGTAGATAAACAAATTTCATTTTAATTATATGACTGTTTAATTTGTTCTTATTTTATAATTGGGAAAAAATAGATCTCGTAGGTGCCAAATTACTGGATTCTTGGCTGACTTTTGTAATTGAATTCTCAGATGCTGTTTTTGATCAGCATTGTTGCTTAAAAGGGGCGAGGTGAAGGCCTGTTTTGTTTACTTCCACATCATCACACGCAAAGTAATTCTGGAGGTTCACTCCCTTTTTGTTCTGTCTGAAGCATTATGACACTTGAGAAGACAGAAGAGTTCCACTTCCTGTGATGTTAGGCAGTAATACCAGTTATACCTGCACTTATAGATGAAACTACCATGTGGAATAAGATTTCTGAATTTGATCAGCTTCTCTGTTGTCAGTTTAAAGAAAATAGCGATGATTGTTCTTGAATTACTTGAGTGTTTCCCTTTAAAATTGTACATTGTGATCTCTGGAGATGTCTAGTTAATCTAAGCAAATGTATTTTTCATGTTCTTTCTGCATACTATTGTGTATAAGTGTTTTTTTTCTAAATACAATATTAATACATGCATATGTCTAGTCAAATTGAGACATAGTTACCACATTTTTCTATGCAGAATTTTGGAAACATTATTTAAAACGGGTGTAAGCTCAAATGTGAAGTTGGGGACACAAATTATCACCATATGTGTTCATTTCTCAAATCTCTCTTCCTTTGATCGGAGCCAAGAATTTATGCTGTTGATTATTACACAAATATGAATGTGGCAGGTTCTTCTATAGTGATGTTTCTGCAAGCCAAAACATACAAATTCTTAACTGTTCCAAGGACATTTAGCTTTGTAAACTTGAATTCCATGTTACAATTTTTTTAAGATTCATTTCTTCAGTTAAAATTTTTTCTGATGACATGTTACTAAATACAGTTTGTCATTGTTGTTTTCACCCAGTCCATAATATTGATATGCAATACTGAAGCCATCAGAGCCCTATTGAAAGTATGACTTTACGTATAAATGTGAAATGCCTTTAAGTACTTACTGCATTTTTCTAGTAACTTACGAAAACAGACTTCAGAGTTTGTTCCCAAGCTCGTTTGTAATATGATTAGAGGCTGTAGAGGTTTAGTATAAGCAGATGCCACAGTACCTGAGCTGCTACCTTAATACAAATGCTACCATATTGATGCTGCTGCTCCTGTTCTTCATGTTCTATATTAATTGACTGAAGAAAACTTAGTTTTGAGTTGATAAACACAGTTTTTGTACAAATGTCTAAAATTTTATGTAGATGTTTTATGTACATGACTAATATTAATTCATTAACTTGGGTGCTTTTTGAAACTTCTGGCTATGTGACTGAGGTGGTATTTCTCTTAAAAATCAGCAGTATAGTCCAGGCTGCTATCTCACTGGTGTTGACCTGAGACCAATTTATACTGAGAAGAGAGGTTGATAAAATTACAGGATGAGCACAATTGGATGTGGTTAGTTCTGTATGAAATCTGCTTCCAGATGGCTATAAGGCAGTGTGGTAGAAGTCGTCTAAATTGTACTTTTAGAGAGGATTAAAGTGTCATAAATCTACACTTTTCTAAGGAAGTATAGAGCAATTTATCCCTAAATTTGGTTCAGTTCTGATGGTCTGCAATTACTTCTGCAGTTTTCTTATAAACTAGTCAGATCCATGTTTGGATCCCGAGGATTAGACATGCATTTAGATAAAAATGTTAAAGAACATTATGCCCCCTTAAAGTGTCGATTGGCTCCTCTTTGAAATAGTGCTTCACTCTTCAGATCTACACTCATGCTAGCTGCTTGTCAACCTGCATTTTTTCAAAGGTTTAAATCTAATTTCTCTGTTTTTTCTAAGTGTTGGTGTTCACTTCTTGGTAAAGCCATTTATGCTTCATTGTTCACATGAACACTGGCTTTTTCTTTGAACTTTAAATTCTGCATTTGCTTGTTGTTTCATATATATTGACTTTGATTATTGTACCTTGTGCTGTTATTGAACCTTAAATCCTGATCACACACAGTCTCAAAACTGTACGTTCCTAGCTGTGATCTTAAGGTAGACAAGATTGACTAATGAAACTGACTTTTATTAAGAGAAAGGATTATATAATATTTTTGTCTTCCTAGAAATAGTAAACAGTTGCATTAAAAAATGAAACAAGAACAGAAATCAGCATCCTAGTAAATAATCCGTTTGTGACCCTTCTCTCCTGACACTTTAAACTGTATGTTTTTTAGTAAGTGGTTTCTTTTCTCGTTGTCACACATCTGAAAATCTTCCCTTGAAAAGGCTCGTGCCTGGTTGCTTAGCTACAGCATTGTATGCTTGTTACGCATTTCACCTTCTGAATAATAATAAGGTGAATTTTAGGAGTTTTCCATTTGTTAATAAGCACTGAGGAGTAAAGCAGAAACGTAAGGGAAAATGAAACATGGGAAAGTTACTTAGCAAAGATTATTATTCTTTTTTTTCTTCTACTTTGGTTTATGCATTTTCCAATCAAAATGACTGCGTTTAATCCTTACCAAGTAGTATGTTACAACAGGCAGTGGATTCTGGTGATAGCGAAAAGAGATTCTTGTTTTAACTTCAGTGAGAAAGTTCTTATAAAATTTGTAGATGCTTTTTAAAAAGTCAGCATTTATTCTGTTTCTTAGTACATATTGATGTAAAAAAGACTTGACTGTCTTATCATGGTTGTTCTTTCTGGTTGTAGCCTCTGAGGGTATGGAAAGAGACAAAGGGTCTAAGCTTGCTATTTCCACACAGACTCCCTGCTCATATTTTGGTATATACTTCACGACTGAACATAATCTCGGTACTTGTACCCTTGTACCGTAGAGATAATGGCTTCTGAATAAATTGATTTGAGAAATCGCATAAGGTTATTTTAGATGAAAGCAGGATTAGCACCCTTGTTTTAATGATAAGGTAGTTCATAGTTTGTAACAACCGAAGTTACACATGGACAGTGGGAATGAGATACAAAACATGCATGCAAGATTTTGTTTCATAGAATCTTCTCTTATTCCCCCTCTCCTTTCTTCTGTAGTGTTGGGGGTGTAGATTGCTTTATATAGTCTACTTCTTTGCCGCTTTTGCAGAAACTGTTTTGGGCTATATTAATAATTAGTCTAAGAAGTCAGTGGCCAGTTGTCTCAATTACTACTGGACAGGCAGAAGGAAGAATTATATCCAGAGGCCAATTAAAAGACAACTGTTAAAGCAGCTCTGCTACTTTTGTGTTGTTTTATACTTAATTTCTTCTTTGGCTGGACATGTAAAATAGTTTCATTACAAAATACCATCCCTTTACACAATACAGAAGTTTGATTGAAGTCTATTTCATACCAGTTAAAAAGCAGAAACATTCTTTGCATAATCCAGGTCCACCTCAAGAACACACTTCGAGCAGTCTTCCCTGACAAGTTCAAGGCAAACACTCTTTGAATTGTTCTCTTGAACAGAATGATTCAGTTGTGTGCACTTGTTTTGTTGGGGTTTTTTGTTCTTAAATGGAAGGTATGATTATTTAGAGACGTACAGGGGAAAAAAAATTGCCAGCATTATGTTGCTTCTATTTGTGGGTTGTAAAGCAAATAATTGACATGCATTATTTTCTGCTGAGATGTTGATTCACACTTAAAAATACTACTTTGATAGTTTAAATGAGAGATATCATAAGAGGCAATCTGGCTCACAGTTTAAACGTTACTAGCAAGATTTCAATGAAGTGGTTCTAATGTTTGGAAAATACGAGAATTTTTGTGAGGGTGGGCATTGGTATTTAAATATCGGTCTATTTAATTTGAGTAGTAGATGGCTCTTTAAATCCTGTTTGCTGCTTTTAAAAATACACAGCAACTGAGGTGTTTCACTTCTTTGACCTCAAAAAGCACAAAGGTTGAAGGTAAGCAATTTGAGAAGAATCCTGTGTCTTACCTGTTTTTCTTTCATACAAAAAAGGATTCTTTATTTGCTGTAAAATAACAAACTCTCACAGGGAAAGGAAAAGAACTGTAGTAGAGGTACAATTTCAAATTTTCTGTTTCGTGGGAAAAGCTGACAATTTTGAATATTGCTAGAATAAAAAATGCAACCAATTGAAGGTATGAACATCCAGCTACTAAAAATGAGAAGGAAATTACGGATTTTTTTTCAAGACTAACAACATGTATCCTCTTGAATTTCAAGAATTTTAAGACCTCATTGCTGTCAGAAAAATATAGTAAGTCAAGGCAGAGTGCTGTGCTGGAAAAAATGTGTACTTAGAAGTTTAAAGCAAAGGTTGACGTACAGGAAGATAAGAATTTGAAAAATCATTGGAATTCTCTCCTCTTTTCCCTTCTGTCTGTAAAATTGTGTGGCTTCATTTCATGTTCATCGCAGGATTTGGGGTATTTGTAGCAATATATATATCTGCAAATATTGTGTGGTGGTTTGTGTAAGCAGTGTATGCCTGTGTTATTTATGCTCTAGGGTAGAGTAGGTGATATTGTTTGTATGTTTCTTAAGGTGCTGTTTCTGCATTGTATGATAAGCAAATGAGTTCTTATCAGTGTTCTTGGAAATTGGACTGTGATACTGTGTAAAGTGCTGGTCCCGTGGATTGTCTTTTTGATATTTTCTTGGGTTCTAAAAGCTTGATATTTACAACAGTGGTGATAGGGCAAAATGTAACATCTTTCCTGAAAAGAGATGTTGCCTCTTCTGTTCTGGAAATATCCGTATTGAAGGTTTGGAGATAGTGTGGTTAAGACCTTTGACCTGAATGTACGCTCAAAGCTTAATTCAGGCCTGGAGTTCTGTGCTCATGGGTATAGCATACAGTGTGTGCTATCCGTATGTTACATGGTGATCATACATTGGCTTTTTTCTTGTCTGCTAGCTTCTTTTGCATGTGCGAAAAGGATATTAAATAAAGAACTCATTATTTTATGTCTAGTCACTGTGCAATAGAGGTTTTAAAATACTTATGAATATATTGTTCTAGGTCAAAGTGACTTAAAACTTTGAAAATGCCATAGATTGCTGCCTTGTGTTATTTAAAGCACCCTTATAAGATGACAGAGGGAATAGATTTGTTCGTTGAAGTCATTAAAAAGAAATACTTTGTTCATGCAGTTTTCTATGTGTATGTCTTGTCTTCTCAGAAGAGACTCTAAAATAGCATCTTTTTTTCGTTCTTCCTTAATAGAAATCTGGTTAAGAAGTACTGTCCTAAACGTTCACCCAAAGATGAGGAACCCAGGTAAAAATGTGCATTTCAAGTTCTATGTATAAGAAACAAGGACTACAGTATACTCTGTCCTTTTATGGATTTTTTTCTTTTTTTTAAGATAAAGTATTTAATTGGCTAAGATGAAAAAATTCTGCTTGGCTTCTTATAGTTCTGCTGTAATTCTTCAGCATGAAACCTGAGTTTACTTCTATTAGTATTTTAAAGTAGTAAACGTGGCAGGTTGTACTTGCTCCGTTCCAAATTAATCTTTAGCTAGCTGAAAGTTTGAAAGCAGAAGTTTAGTATGCTGTGTATGGTCTAGTATTATTTTTTTAAAGAAAAGCAATTAAGTGTTCTTAGGCTGTGTGTTTTGCTTAGTTTAGTAGAGTTTTTCAGTGCATTTGTATGGCAATATTGTCATGTTTTTGGCAAGAAGAGCTCTTAAACTGCTGACTTGCTTTGACTCGGGAGACAAAGTAAGTGAATGTCTAACTGTGGAGGAGCAATTTGTGCTAAACAAATTTATTTATCAGAGGTGCCTGTTTTGCTGTCCATGCCCATAGCCATTTTTTTATTTATTTAGAAAAACACAATACGTTTTTTCTTTAGGGATAATTCTTATGAAGGAAAGAAAGTGGACAAGTTTCAGGTTGCAGCCAGAGCACATGCTGTGCGCAGAGTGACTGAGAATTCACACTAGGATTTCCTCTCTTTCAACTGTTTAAAGATCCTGGACCACAGGGAATGGGATTTCTAGTGCTAGGGTGGCATTTGAATTCCCCAGAGCCAAGCCTATGGAGATGGCAGTATTCCACAGTTAAAAGAGAGAAAGATGTATATTTTAATGTGGTGCCTGTTTTTTTGTTTTTTTTTTTTGTTTTTTTCTTTCTTCCCTTCCACACACACTTTCTACCCTTTGCCCCTCCTCTTCCCCCCTTTTTAGTGCCAGCCATAGTGGCACCTTACTTCCAGCCAAGAGGTGGGCAGGCAAACAGGCAGCTGTCTCCAGAGCTGATAGCAAACTTGTTCTGTAGATCATCCATCGGGATGCATATGAGTGGTATGATTGGCATGTTCCACCCTCAAGACTACCAAGCACATCATCTCTGCAGCAAGTTCAGCCTCCGAGCCTAGGGACGTATGTATCCGTTCCCAAGCTCAGGCCTCTCAGTTGGCAGCTTAGGAGATACCACTATACGACAGGGCTTTCCAGGTAGTATTCTTCTTCTTTCTTTTCCATCCACAAAAATCCATATTCTTAAAAAATGTATTTGAAGAGACATTGCAACATATAGTACATGCTAGGCTTAATATAGGCTTTTCCCAACTTGCATTTCTACTATAATTCAATTAGCATTAAGATAAGGTTTATTGTAAATATGTATGATTTTTTTTGTTTTATTTAATCAGGAGTACAGACTATACTAAAAGAAGTCCATTTTAAAAAGCTGTCTCACTTTTTGTATATGTATGTTTGTGCGTGTGTGCTTTCTGTCAGGTTTACTTCGTGTATTGCCTTTTTTAACATCCTTAATGAGTTGAATGACTATGCAGGACAACGAGAAGTAGTTGCAGAAGAAATGGGACATAGAGTGTACGGAGAATTGATGAGATATTCTCATGATCTGAAAACTGAGAGAAAAATGGTAATTTCTATACTTTGATACTAGAATATCAAAATGGATATGTCTTTTAACGAGTTGATGTATTTGTTTACCCAATTTAATGAACTTGGCAATAAGTAGGTTTTGTAATACATTTATAAAACTCGTATTTAAAGTTATTCTGTATTTCTATGTACTGGTTTACTACAGTTATTAAACCTAAAAATTAAGGCCTTGGGAGGTAGTGCTTACTAGTAACTCTTTTGCCAGTGTAATTTTCATCTGTGGTACTGTTCTTATGACTAGTAACATCTTCCAAAGAGACCTGGTAACTTGTGGGAGATACTGCACATCATAGCATGTCAACTGGAGCAGGGACTAACTAATGGTAATAGTACTAAAAAGATATGTAAATTACACTTATTTGTGGTGTTTTTAGCATCTTCAGGAAGGGCGAAAGGCTCAACAGTATCTGGACATGTGCTGGAAACAGATGGATAATGTGAGTTTGGTTTTGTTTTTTTTTTTCCTATCAAACTTAATAATATGCAGTCTGTAAACGGAACTGTTGTCATCTTGCTTGCTTAGGCTTTAATGTTTAGCTATATTACTGAATGTCCAAATCAGACTTAGTAACATCCAAAATACAGCTCAATGCATTTGTAGTTCCCTGCTTAAAAAAAAAAAATCTCCTGTAAACAGCTTCTGTGTGTGTGTTTGAGTGAAGTCTTGGCTTTTGTCCAGTGTAAAGGAATCTGGTTTTAACATAGGTACAGACTTCTTCGGTTGCTTCTCTGCAGGCTACTTTTTGTTTAGAGAGTAATTAATAATGACAATTTATTTATACAAAGATGAAATTTTAAGTCACTATTTGACTTGAGTTTGAGGGCTTGATACATGAGGTCTATTCAAGAATATCCCTGTAGACTATTATACTTTCAGGAGTAGAATTACTTTTTAAGAGAGAAATGCAGGAAGTTAATTTCTCTAGAACGGATTATAAATTCCTTTTTCTTGAGAGATGTGCTTTTAAAGGTGAGAAAATGTAAAATTCAACCGAGTGTGTTCAAGATGCATTCTGATGTTCTACTGGTTTTGTGTCTTTGAATCAAAGATATAATAAATTTCTGGTTATTGTGATGCAATACCGGAGAGGTGAATTTCTATTTTGTTGTTGTGGACCCAGATAAGCAATGTCTTGCTTCAGTGTCATGTCAAAGAGTTTAATTAATGGTCAGAGGATCAGAGTAGAAGCAGATGTGGTAGTTTTAGATGCTGTCACCCTTCACCAAGGTAATTCCGAGTTCACCTCAAACAATCAGTTGTGTTGTGTGCACTGTATTTACTTGAGTGCAAAGTCAGTCTTTTAAATGCATACAGCCTTTAAGGGACACATTAACCTCAATTGCCTGACTTTGAACTGAAGCAGGAGAGCAGTGCTCATGCGATCTCTGTTGCCAGTTTGTCTCTAGAGCTATTAATTTCTTGAGCTGCAACAGTTTTTCCTACAGCAGTTGTCTTGACAACAGCGAGATATATTGAACATCAAGTACCTTGAATACTGTTGTCTGTGCTGCTCACAGCTACGCCAGTTGATATGAATACCGATGATAATGGATGGGTATGCTAAGATCTCGTAATGTAGATAAATCCTTCAGACTACCTTCAAAATAATTTAGTTGAATTTGTTCAATTAAAATTGATCACTGAAGAAGGGAACTTGAAAATTTTACTCATACAAGTCCAGGTTTAAGTTTTCTGCCCCCTAACTTTTGTTTAGGTTATTGAAGTCAGGCCAGAAGGTGGACTTGTCTGTTTATAATTAACTGCGGATCTTTGTAATAGGTTATTTTGTATTTTGATTATCTGATATTTTGTAGCATAATTACAGTTGTTTTCTTGCTGGTACTTCAAGGAAATAAGTTTTAAATACAACAGTTGAAAATTTTTGAGAGTTGGTTGCTGCGAGAACAATGTATTTACTTAAAGGTATTTAGTGAATTTAAGATACTTAAATGGAAGCTTTGATATTTAGAATTCAAAATTACTGTACAAAACCAAAAGGGGATAGTGGCTGTTGAAGCAGTAAGTTTGTGGCTTTTGTAGAGCAAAAAGAAATTTGAGAGAGAATGCAGGGAGGCAGAAAAGGCACAGCAAAGCTACGAAAGACTGGACAACGACACTAACGCGACAAAGGCTGATGTTGAGAAGGTAAGAGCGGTGCCATTTCTTTACTCTCTTTTTATTATAAAAAACATTTTATTTGCATGTTTATCATCAGTACTGGAACAACAATCTTTGGGTGTATAAAATTGTCTATAAAATATGCTTGCTGCTTATGTGCAAAATCAAAGTTACAGTAAAATACAACACAGCACAGAGAGGGAGTATGCTTCATTAGTCTCGAGATGATGCTGTTGAGATGATGACTATCTTCCTTAAACACGCAGGCTTACTGGTATTTGGTATCTTGTGGTATATATGTTCAGTCACTTCTGTGTTTTTTAGGATGTGCATTTAAGTGACGTGGCTAAGGGAGCTACAATGATCGTTGCTCTCTCTGTATATAATAAATTAGGTCTGTAGACTGTCAGTATATATGAAGTCTCACATTGTTTTTATTTCAGTTATAAGGATGTCAGTTTTGATGACTTGTGATCAGAGTTTTTGCATAGTTGGTAAAATAAAATAATGCTGTATGTCATTGAAAAGCGCAGGACATGTTTGAACTGATAACACTTTCCTACTAGGCTAAGCAACAGTTAAACCTGCGCACACATATGGCTGATGAAAACAAAAATGAATATGCTGCACAACTACAGAATTTTAACGGGGAACAGCACAAACACTATTATATCGTCATTCCTCAGATTTATAAGGTAAAATAATTAACAGAGAAAGTATGTCTGATATTCTTTTAAGAGAGAAGTAGATTTTAAAATTTAAAACTTTTATTTTTGGGATTTTAGTGGAAAATTTTATCAAGAAATCAGGAGACTGCTTACAGTAATTATGCTTAGACTTGTAATGAACATATTCTGTTGCATTTTCTATGAAGATTTTATATTTTATAGACTCTTTGTTTAAACATTGCTGAAGAGGTATGGCAAAATAAACATTTGAAACATCTGGGTGAGAGCAAACATTTAAAACAATTGTTCTAGTAAGGTTTGGTCACTAGTTCTCTTGGTATTTGTGTGTGCGTGTGAATGCTTTGACTCTGGCAGAGATGAAGGAAAGTGTGTAGCTAATGGTGACTATGTGGTTTAATGTATCTCATGTACAGGTATAAAATGGGTGGATTGGAGGCAGAAGTGCTTCCCCCCCATTGGTCATTGCTTCATCAATATTACCAGCAATCCACAGAACTCTTTAAAATAACAAAAAAAGCTAAAGGTCAAATTAGATCAATACTTTGCAGCTAAGAAGGGGATTTCTCAAAGTGCTTCATGTAACTATTATGATTATTTTTTTCTTTTTAAGATTCTTTCAAAAACAGACTTTGCAAAGCTGGTTTAAAGTAAAGTAGTTGGGGGGAGTCAGGTGAGGGTGAGTTCAGAAGTGTATTGGCATGTACGTTCAGCCATTTGGGAGTATACTGTGACTGTAGAAACTGATTCTGAGACACGGAGCGAGGAAGTAGAGAGTGAAAATAGTGACTTTATTTGAAGGTGTACCAACTTAAGAATGGTTGATATTTTCTAGAAGCACAAAGGGGTTCGTATTTTTAAAAAATACTTATTAGAAGGTCTAGGAATCACAGGAGAGAATTGCCTTGACTTATTAAAGAATTTTCTAATATTTTAACTGTTAAGCAGTGCAACAGTAGATCTGACATTATCACACTGATGGGAGGAATTGCAGTCAACTCCCAGGAGAAACAGCTCGATCATCTTTGTAGCTTGGACCAGAGTTTTGGTTTATTGCCTTTATTTCTCTAGGGTTAAAATCCGTTATCACTGTGAGATATTACTTACGTTTTTTGAAATCTCCAGTGAGAACAGAAAGGCCTAGTCCTGCTTTCTCTTGGGACTACATTTTTATTAGTTCCTTGCAAGTATTTGGTAACATTCTATGGGAAAACCTTGGGAGAGGGATTCAGCATGACTAGGTTGTTGCTTTGTTTCGGAGAGATGAAATTGGATGCTGTTTGAGCCATCTGCCTTTGTTAGAGTAGATACAGGAATGATCCAACGTCTTATCCCATTTTTGATAACCTATTGATGTATGTACTGTTGCTTTTTGCTTTCTTTTGTGGTTTTTTTTTTCCACCTTCAATTAGGTTAAAGGTCCAGGGCTATTATCTTAATAGTATTTCTCTTTAATTTGTTCTTTTTGTTGTGTCCCAGTAGACTTTTATTACAAATCTTATGTAATGGTATTCTTTTCTTTATTTTCTTGCACACTTCTAAAGGAAATGGTTTGTATTTCAAATCAGAGAGCATGTCTAAACAGCATATAATTTTAATATTTCTAATTTTTCCTTTTTTTAAATCATTGATATTTATTGGAAAGTATAAAAATAAAAGCAAGATAGAGATACTTATCACCAGAAAGAAATTATTTGGAACTAGAAGGAGAGAGTGAGGAGATGTAGAAATTAGTAGAATTTCTTTACTGTTGTTTTCATTTTTGCATGAAACAAATATTTTAAAGTAAATAGGCGGCTGTAGACACTGTGCACATGCCTTAAAAAAGAGTAAGGAAAAGAAAGTCCAGTCCTTTACATCATTTTTAAAAATCAAAGGGTATCAATTCTTCATAATTACTGTTCTGGGCATCTTAAGTCTATGTCTGAAAGGACTTGATTTTTTTAACTTAATTAAGTTCTGTTTTGTTAAGCAAATAAAAAATACTGGGAAAGCACAGAAATTCTGTACTACACTGTGGTGAGCACAGTAACTGCATACATCAGGATCGGGGGGGGGAAATCTGCAAATAAAAGCTTTATTTTATCTCACTTTGTGCTTGCAGCAACTTCAAGAAATGGATGAAAGAAGGACTATCAAACTTAGTGAATGTTACAAAGGCTTTGCCGACTCTGAGCGCAAGGTTATTCCGATTATCTCTAAATGTTTAGAAGGGATGATCCTTGCAGCAAAATCAGTTGATGAACATAGAGTAAGTAGAACTGAGCGACTTTTTAAATGTGCATGAGCAATTTAACTGATATGGAAGCTGTGGAGAGGGGAAAGACAGACTTACCCTGTACATTTATCTTTCTGTGGTCAAATATTTGTCTGCTTGAAAAGTGTTGTGACTTGAGTTTTAGCCTAAATGGTCCCTTCCACTTTCGGTGTCTTTGTCTTCCTGTTTCATTGCTTTCTTGTGATCTGAAGATCTTTGACACTTTCTCACTGTATGTGATATTGGACGCATTGTTTTGGTTATCCTGGAACACCCTCATGGTTGGTATTTTCTCCAGTATGTAGCATTAAGTCATATAAAGGGTGTTCAGTTAACAAAGTACCGTTCTGTGTCCTGTTTGATTGCAGCTATTGCCACTTCTTTCTTACTCCTTCTAATACAGGTTCTTCCCTATTATATCTTACTACACCTAGTTTTTCTTAGTGTTATCTTCATGCAGTGCTAATGTTGAAGGATTAGAAGGTGGGGTAGTAGTTTGGCCCTAAAGCATGTCCTGTTTTAAATTCGTGGTAACCTTTGGGGAGTATTTGCTGGATTCTGAATAGCAGGGTATGCTTTGATTTACACACCGCTGAGAAAAAAAAAACATACGTTATCTTAACTTGATCTCTCCAAAAGCATGCATTTTGAGCTCGCTCTCAATTTCCCATCTGTGCATCTCTGCAATTAAAGGGAAAATTTATGTCTCCATGTTCTCTCTCCGATTCTTGATGGGTTTGCTTGTTTTGCTTTTTAAACTCCTTAATGTCCTATGTTTAGGACTCTCAACTAGTGATAGACTGCTTCAAATCCGGTTTTGAACCTCCTGGAGATTTTCCATTTGAAGATTACAGTCAGAATATTTACAGAACTATCTCTGACGGAACCATCAGTACACCAAAGCAGGAAGGAATGAGAATTGATTCAAAAACTACAGTGGGCAAGGCTAAAGGAAAGCTGTGGCTATTTGGAAAGAAGCCAAAGGTAACAATTAAGAAATTACTGTTTGAAAAATTAAAATGTGAAGATCTAGAGTGCATGGAAGCAGCAGTTTGTTTGTTTATTTTAAAATAACCTTCCCCTTGCCTGCTACTGTCTCTTAAAATATGTGTAAGGAGATCTGAAGGTTTGAGTAGGGTTGGATACTTACATTAAAAATCAAGTTCTCACTAGGGGGAGTTTTCCAATTTTTCTTCTAGTGATTTGGGTCTGGGAGTGTTTTTAATAGTTATTTGATAAAAGTGGTTTCCCATTTCTTTAACATTTCTAAGTTTCTGTAAAGACTTTCTGTGATTGCATAGAAAAGGTGTTAATTGTGAATGTAAAAATAAGAGGGGGGGGAGTATGCTTTGGAATCGGGCAGACTTCAGATCTCTCTTTTATATACTACAAAAAGCAACCCCCTTCTAAATGTTAATTTTGTAGATGTTTATATATAGGAGTGTTTGTTATATAGATTTTTTGTTATACCTGCTGCTAGTTTTGAAAACTTCTGGGGTTTGTCTGAAAACATTAAAATTTATAATACCTCATTGATAAAACATACTGTTGAAGCTCCATACAGGTGAATGTCGCAGAAGAAATATTACTATGAAATAGGTAAAAGTAATCCTATGCTCAAGAAAAAATTGAAAGCAGAGAAATTACTCCTTTCTTGTATTATTATGAGTTTCAATTAACACTTTCTGTGCAAGATGCCTTCATGGATCAAGAAAAAAGATTATCAGTACATGCATTAGCTATATAAATGAAGCATATACATATTATGCTAGGTCTTTATTTAGTATTGGAGCGTATCAGTGAGCCATTTTAATGATTCCCACAAATTTCTATGAGGTTATTTTAATGCTCCAAGTCAGTTTCTGCCATTTATTATAGGAAACTATTCTTAGAGCTTGTTAGTGGTAGGATTTATTTTCCACTTGAAAGCAGATCTTTACAGAAAGAAAGGATATAGCCGATTCTTTCTTCCCTCCTTAGTACATTATGTAACTGCAGCTGTATGCTAAAATGAAAACTGTTTACTTCTCATGCAGTATAATTAATGACTGATAATAGTTTAAATGCATTAATGCATTAGCATATCTGTTGCATTTGGCTGCAGAGGTGGGTGAGATTCAGCCTGTTCTGAAATTAGATCGGGATTACCAGTTTGACAACAAGACATCTTTCTGAGAATTTTGGAGAGGGAAGCTATGAAAATCTGCATTGGTTTTCAATCTGGACCTTGGCATTTACTGTAGTTACAAGAAATTCCTTG